AAACCAAACGTTAGAGAGTTTTCGTTTATTGATAGAGCTGTAGTCAATTTATTAAAATCCATTGAAGTTTTGCCACATATGTAGCAATTCATAGTAGAACTAGTGTGTGTGATAGCATTGCATACTTATATTTACTTCTTCGTCGACTGTTTCTCTTACAAATCGGAACCGGATAGGACGACAATAGCGTGGTGAAGAAGGAGTTGGGTTCTCCCATATCACTTTCTGAGTGTTTGATAATAGTAGTTGCAGTGGTACCAACGAACTTAGAAAAATATTCGTATTCAAATCGAACTCATTGTCAAATTTTTGCTTGTATTGGAATTGCTGTGATCAATGACAACTCCACATACAAACGAGTGTTAAGTTTTTTAAATCACTCTGTTCTAATGATTTAATCACTTCTTGAAGATATTCCAATAGTCTTGTTTCTGTATGATTCAAAAGATCTTGTAAATTGATTTCGGTATAAGTAGCAGTGATTTTGTATTCTGAACCTAATGGATAACAGTCCTTTTAGGCTTTTTGGATTAAAGTATAAAATGGATGAAACATTTTATTATAACATATATGAGCTTTTGCGGCTTTGCATTATGCTTAACATATATGCCCTACTTATTTCTGTGACCCCTGAAGTACCTAAATACAAAGTGATAAAATTTGATTATGGAAAGATTACACGGAAACACATAGGAAACATATAGAGATCACAAACGCTGCTCATGAGTACACTGAATGTTGCTGGTGCGCTTGATTAGGATTTCAAATACTCACAAAAATATTAACTTTATCTTCAATGTTTCAATATAACAGATCTTTACATTTCAGGCATAATAATATTTTTTCTCCTACATTATCTAAATATTATGTTTACTCGTTTTGTATACGAAGCAATGCAAAATATTGTTTCAAATATGTATGACTCTACTCCACTTTTTTGTTGCTTACAAAGCCATCCGCCAAAATCCGCAGCCAAACTTTTTTTCTTAAATAAAGAAACTTTTACCTTTATAATGCAGTTAATATCATAGTGAATATTGTGGAATTCTATAACTTTTTAACTATAATGCATTCGCTTAAATCAAAAAAATGCATTCAAATAGCAACTTTTAGATTAAAGCCTCAACAGCACTAAAACACAGAATATCTATTTAAATTTTATGAGTAGATCTCTAATTACCTGCTTTAAACGATGTCATAATTTATATCTTTCAAGATTATTGTCACTATTAATAATATCACTTTTTATTAGCTACTAGCGTAAGTTGCAACTTAAACAAAAATTTTCCTTTTAAAATGCTCCACTTCAAATCAGCTGTGCATGCGAATGGCAGCATAGAGAAAAATAAAAAAAAAATAATCCTGTAGCGAATTATATTTTGTAAAGTCCCCAATAAAAAATTTTTATAAAAAATTAATTTAAAAAATTGGATTTTTGGCCGCCTAAATTGAGCCCTATGTGCGCCGATGGGTTACCGGCTGAGCTGTTTAAAACTCGTAGCGAAGAACTATTAAAATGCATGCTATATCTAATTCGCAGCATATGGTCAAATGAATGCATGCCGAACGATTATAATTACAGTGTGCTTTGTTCAATCCACAAAAAAAGTAATTTCTCATACTGCGCCAACGTACTACGTGGATAAATGAAGTTAATCATCAACCAACCAACTAACTGTTTGAATCGAGAAGAACCTTTCCGAGCCGTTTAATACCAAACGAGTTTTCAGACAGGGTGACTCCTTGTCGTGTCACTACTTTAACCTAATGTTAGAAAAGATAATTCGAGCAGCCGATATGAACCACACTACCACAATATTCTACAAAAGTGTAATGCTGCTTGCGTATGCCGATGAATTTGATATCACCTGCGGCATCAGAACAATATTTTCCAACTCAGAAAAATAAGCAAAGGACAATACAAAATACTTTTTGTCAACAAACGAATTTCCAGTGCGTCTTGGAACCCCCGTCATTGTTGACAATTATAAGTTCGAAATTGTGAAACAATTTGTTTATTTAGGAACTAACTTACCACCAAAAATGACGTTAGCCTAGAGATAAAACATAGAATCACTATTGCTAACACATTTCATTTTGGGTTAAGTAGGCAATTGAGAAATAAAACACTCTCCCAGCAAACAAAAATCACGCTCTACAAATCTCTTATCATGCCTGTTCTGGAGCGCAATTAATAGTTAAGCGCATAAAAATTCACCGGCTTCGCTGGCTTGATCATGTCGTGCGAATAGAAGAAAGTGCTCCGGCTAGAAAGGTGTTTGAACCGGTACCCGCAGGTGGAAAACGCGGTAAAGGACGTCCGCATGTTCGGTGGAAGATCCAGGTGACCAACGATTTCGTTGTGCTCAGTACTACCAGTACTGGCGACAGCAAGCAACTAATCGGACTATCTGACGGAGGCTCCTCGACGCGGTCAAAGACGACTCACGTTTGTAACGGCCAACTAAGTAAGTAAATAATTTCAATAATTTTATTTCAGTCCCAGTATGACTTTTAATTTAATATAATTGAAACCTAGTTCTACAGTCCTTTATTCTTAGTTAACTTCAAAATTAATATTAAGTTTAATATTAATATCAATTAATTAATATTAACTCACAAATAGAATAAAATAAATATTTTTTTTTTTTTTTTTTTTTTTTTTTTTTTTTTTTTATTATTATTATTATATAAATACAATCTGTAAAAGAACATTCATTATTATTTATGAACATAAAAATAGAAAAAGTGATTTGTAGACATGTGCGGGACACTCAGTAGTAAACACCGCTAAAGATTAAATTACAACTAATAATAATGATGACTAATAATAGTGAGTAAATAGTTGGCTATATAAATATTAAATTTCAGTGAGTTTACAATTACGATTCACGTGTTTAGGGTTCTACTTGGCAAGTCCGACGTAGAAAATCTTCTTAGTCGACGTGGATGATTGATATCTGATAGTAGCTCGTGTGCCAGTGGGTTCGGGTGATTTGATAGTCTTATACATACGATAGTTTTTGCTGACTGTTTGTATTGTTTCAAACACTGATGGGACGTGGAGATCGCGCTGTAAAGTGCTATTTGGAATATACCATGGAGCAGCCGCACATAAACGAAGTATTTTTGATTCAAATCTTTGCAATATCGCTATATTAGATTTTGCAGCTGTTCCCCAGATCGAGACACCGTAGGTCCATATTGGTTTTAAAATAACTTTATATAAAAGTACTTTATTGTTCAGTGATAGTTTTGAATTTTGGCAAAGAAGCCAGTGCATGGAGCGCATTTTTAAACCCAGTTGCTTGCGTTTCGTAAATATATGATGTTTCCAGGTGAGACGCCGATCAAGATGAACACCTAGATACTTCACGTGATCGGATTGTGGTAGTACGTTATTATTTAGTGTGACTGGTGGACAGTAACCATTGCGAAGAGTGAATGTGATTTGTGCAGATTTGGATTCATTAGCTTTAATGCGCCATTTGTTTAGCCACACTTGGATGCTATCTAGGTTTGTTTGCAACTGACTAGTAGCGACTGTTGGGTTTTTGCTTTCAGCTATGTTCACTGTGTCATCGGCAAAAGTTGCGGTATATGTTGATGGGTTAAGTGGTAAGTCAGCTGTGAACAGTGTGTAGAGGGTTGGACCTAGTACACTCCCTTGTGGAACTCCAGCTTTTATCGGGAAGATTTTCGTATTATAGTCTTCTATTTTAACCATGAAATATCGGTTATTGATATAAGACTTAAGTAACAAATAGAAGCTGTGTGGTAGATGTAATTTCAATTTGTAGAGCAGTCCGGTGTGCCATACCTTGTCAAATGCTTGCGTTATATCGATAAATGCTGCAGTGCAGTATTCTTTTCTTTCCAGTCCATCTCTTGCATATTGATAAACACGATTTACCTGTTCAATGGTTGAGTGGCGGTTTCGAAAGCCGAACTGGTGAGCAGGAATTAGTAAGCGACTTTGGGTGATCTGGTTAAGACGCTTTAAGAGTATTTTTTCGAAGACTTTGGAGAGCACCGGAAGTAAGCTTATAGGTCGATAAGATGTAACTAACTCTAAAGGTTTACCTGGTTTTGGTATCAGGATAATTTGAGCTACTTTCCATTGACTTGGATAGTATTCTTGACATATAATAGCATTAAAAAGTTGGTTGATGAAAACAAGACCAATGTTTGGAAGCTCTTTCAACACTTTGCCAGTAATCAAATCGCACCCAGGAGCCTTTTTGGTTTTAATTTTAGTCTTAATTGTCCATTTAATTTCTTGTATTGTGGTTTTAGGAACCGGGAAGTCCATTTGATGTGGTGTTTGCAGGAAAGACTCAATTTCAGTGTCGTCTTCATAACTTATGCACGGGTATGGTTGAAATACACCTTGAAGATGCTCTGCGAAAATTTGAGCCTTGTCGATTCTGGATCTAGCCCACTGTCCATCATACATTTTGAGTGGTGGAATGTGTGGCGTTGATCCATTCAGCTTACGAGTGGCCCGCCATAATGAATAGTCGGTTGCTTCACTGGGAGACAATGCAGATAGGTATGTTTCAATGTTTTTGTTTTTGTTCTCCCTTAGGGTTTCTTTAAGTTTTTTTATCGCTTCATTCAAACTTCTTTTGTCTTCACGATTTTTTGTTATTTGCCAAATTCGTCGCAATTTACGTTTCTGAAGTAACTGTTCCTTTATTCCTCTGTCTATGTGCTCTTCTTTGTATTCATTAAAATGCATGGTTGAGTTCCACGAGGCATTCTGTGCGGTTGTATTAAATTGCTCGACCGCAGATTCGATATCGGTACCGGTTTTGAGTGGGATGTTGGTTGTTAAATTTTCATTTATGATGCTTCTGAAAATACTCCAGTCTGTTCTTTTGTTGTATAATCGAGGCTCTTTGTTCTTTACAAAAATTTTAGAGTTCAACTCCATAATAAGGGGAGAGTGGTCTGAGGAAAGATCTAAACTGGAATGAATCGATAATAGTGAGCTTGAAATGCCTTTAAATATGCAAAAATCGATCACGTCTGGAACTTTATTGTGGTCTGTTGGCCAGTAAGTTGGTTCACCAGTTGATGCGTGAAGCAAATCGTTGGCCTGCATAGTCTTAAACAATGCTTTGCATTGAAGTCCCCAGCAGCTATAAATGTTTGACCAAGCGTGTGGAAAAATTCCTCAAACTGATGACTTTTAATTTTTTGGTTTGGTGGGCATAAAATAAATATGGTTTGTTTATTATAATAAATTATATCGATATTGTTCACGTACCGTTCCCGTAGCTGTTGACTGCAGCATCCTTTTATGAGCCTTAACCGTACCTTTGCAGATCATGGTAGTGACCTGCGTCGATTTTTGAACCACGAAAGTAACGTACATCCAGCACATTTGAAGCATATCTTGCGTCAATCTCGAAATTACTTTGAGTCGCGCAGCAGCGAAATTTATTTAAAAGTAGATAGATGAAAGGTAGGTTTTCCGACCGTTGGACTAAAGAATTTCTCTTCATTTTCTCTTCAGATCTTTATGTTAAAATTCCAGAAGACAGTTTTCGTTGCCAGGACTAGGGTCATAAATTTTCTCGAGTCTCGCGTAGAAGGTATCTTGAGTCAAGTCATCCGTTTCTTCTATTGTCACTTGAGCACAAATTAGGGTGATATGAATTTTCGTTTTATGCGGATTGTATCTGGTCTTTCGTTTACTTTTGTAAGACGCTCATATAGCGTCGAGTGTGTTATTTTTATATAACAAAAACTGTGTTTTGTGTAAGGAAAAATTATTTTGATTGTTTTAAATATTGTTTATGATCTATCGTTATGATATAAAAACAGTTAAAAAATTTTTATTATTTATTGTGGTTTATGTTGAAAGAAGTTGTTCTGATTGTTTCGTACAATGTTTATGATTTAACATTATGGTATAAAAATTGTATACAAAAGATAGTTAACATTTTTCTGTAGTTACTAATTTTACATTAGGGGTATTCAGGCAACTGATTCGTTGCTTAGTTGATTCAAAAACTTCATATAAAAAAAATTTAGCATTTTGATGTTAATCAGTTGCTTCAACGACCCAAAATGCGTAATCTGATTAGTTTGTTGTGTGAAAATGCCTTAGCAACACTCGCATCAACAGCAAAAGTGAAACATACTTGTGTTTGCAAAATTGTTTACACACAATTCAAACAGCTGAGAGAGACAGCTAACAAATTTCTATACTAAAGTTCATTTTAAGTTATTATTTCGACACTTGGTATTGGTAGCACTATTAATCAAATTTGTACTAATCTGAGAATCACCGAAATAGTTGATTCTCTGCTTAGTTTCATTTTTGCGTGCAAATGTTTGTTGTAATCAACTACTAAGCAACTAATCAGTTGCCTGAATACACCTATTATTTTCACATAATAAAACTTGTGGTTTCTGTTGAGAGAAGTTCTTCGGATTGTTGTAAATATTGTTTAAAATATGAGATGTTCTTCAAATCCTGAACTAGTGCGAGAAGTCTTAGTATAAACTGAAATTTCCTCAGTAGTATTTGCATTTGTTATATGCTGCGTTTTTGATATTGGTAGTTCATATCCGGAATTTTATGATTGCATCAGAAATGAGATATTGAAAATTTGAGATATTATGCTTGTAGTGCTTATGGCTGGTAACTTGTATTATGACTTTTCCATTATTTGATTATTAACCAATCATGCTTATTCATTTTTTTCTAATTTAGGAAGGTAAACTCCAACCAATTAACCGGAATAATGCTGGAATGCTGAAATGTTTGATATTAATTTTCAGTTGAGTGTTGGTCTACTGTCTTCTAAGACTTTCAGTATTCATAATAATTCGAATTGGTTTATTATGAATTTTAAATGTTTTTATGTATACTTTATATCTCTGTAAGTGGTTTTTATTGATATATATCAAATTTTATAGATTTGATATCTATATTATTAGCATATGTAGGCTGTTAGAAGCCATGTCAATTTAAATATACCATACATGGATAAGAGGATTGAGTTGTCAGTAAATAAAACTATTATGTGCTATTGTAGTACATTACCATCTGGTACTCCAGCATTCATTTTTTAATAACTGTTAACACATAAGTATAGTTTATTAAATTATTATTTAATTATTCTTCCAAAGGTACATTTACCACTCTCTAGCTCATCGTTTTGTTTAATTTAAACAAATGACCACACACACAAAATCATAAAAATTATTGGTGCTTTCGCTATTAGATAGAAATGTTTTGCGATGTGAGCTGCAAACTTATGAGCACAACTAAAGACTATAATAGCTAAGAGAAGCAAATTAAATGAGTTTTCATAAACAATTATATTTAATTATTTTTGCTAAAACTTTAATCTTTAAAAATATATACATAAAAATGTAAACAATATAATAATAATATAATAATAAACAATATTAATTCTTGATGTAAAGATATTTAATAAATTTTTATATATTATATTTGACAATTTGCAATGTGCGCTGCTCACCTCCGCACCTTAGAGCAGTCGTCACTGTTTCAATCATATTTCGTCTTTCCCATTTAAGCAATTGCATTCATAAGTTTTCTGTCATAAGTGGGCACAAAGTATAATGAACAAAATAATGTGTGTGTGCTCTATCTTAAAATATTAGAAATAGAGATTAGGAATTGTATGAGAGTGTTTTCTGTTCTATTCGAATATCAACTACATGTATAACAATTCAACATGTTGCCTTGCCGAAGCGATTAGATGTGCGGCTAAAGTTAACAGCTCACATCACCATACATTTCTTTCAAATTTCGTCTCTCCCTTTTTAGCTGTTGCTCAGCGAATAATAACCACTTTGTGTGTGGCGTAGCTGGCCGCACATTTATACGTTGAAAGTGTGTTCGATTGTGTTTGATCACTGCATAAACAAGTATGGTTCTAAGTGTTTGAAAAAAGTTGGTTTGATGTTATAAGATATATGTGAAAAGTTGTATTTATTCCATATTTATATGATATTAAACTTATATATAAATTATTTATTTAATTTGTTTAATATGTTATTTTGTTATTGAATTATTAAATGTTATATTGTAAATATATTGTTGCCTAATGTAATATAGTTATTATTAATAAAACATCTTATACATTTCAATTTAGCATTTTTAATTTAAGTGGTACATGTTAATACAATATTATAGAAGGACCGCATACCCTTCCAGATAGGCCACTCGTCGCCACTGGCCTAAAGAGAATTTTCTTACAACTAATCAATTGTAGAATGCTGCTTTCTGAATCCAAACTGGTGGTTAAGAATAAGATTGGTTTGTTGAAGGATTGAAACCAAAGTAATACAGAATGTTCAGAAAACTTAAAAGAAGCTTATTGATCTTTATAAGTTTATGTGTTCTACATTTTTGATCAGTTTAGGTACCGCAATAATTGCAGGTACTTTCCAGTTTTCAGATAATATTTAATATAATTGAATAAATTTCATATGAACGTAAAGCCTTTCAGAATTAGCTCGTATATTCTTGCCATTAATTAGTATAAGTGGCATCATATACTATATGGAGTCATCTTAGAATTACTCATATCATTAACTGAGTTTTTCTTATCTGTCAAACCAAAATGATTCAATTATCTCTTTAACAAATAATAAAGCATATGCAGGCAAGTCTTATAATAGCAACTTTTCCTTAAAACTATCAAAGTTACCATAGTGTCAACTGCGAATCCATTTTACATCTATATAATATATTTGTTCCGTCGTTTCTTTTTCAACATATGTTTACATTCTGAACTTTGCATTTAAAAATCCATTTAAAGACATGCATTTTAAATACGTTATTGAGCTTTAGAATTAAATAATAAAATAAAAATATTTTTAACAAGCATTGTAAAATAAGTGAAAATAAGATTAATAAGTTATTTTGTTTGCAAATAATGTTTTAGGTATATAATTTTTTCTTGTGAATCTTAAACCTATTTACTTACTTAAATGTCGTCCACTGTTGGATGACAATTAAAATAAATGCTTCATTCTAGATTAAGCTATATAAATCGCAAATAAAAATTTCACTATATATTATTATATATATCTTACATTTACAGGGCGATACTTGCTGTTGGATTTGTGACAACTGCGAACCATACGAATATGTTTACGACGATTTTACTTGTAAAGATTGTGGTCCTGGATATTGGCCATACGCGGATAAGCTCTCCTGCTTTGCTTTGAATATTCAGTACATCAGATGGAAATCGTTATTTGCACTTATTCCTATGATTATTGCTGTCCTAGGCATATTAATGACTTTTATGGTTATTATGCTGTTTGCCAGGAACCATGACACACCACTAGTACGCGCATCCGGTCGAGAATTAAGTTATACATTATTATTTGGAATATTAGTCTGCTACTGCAATACTTTTGCTCTTATAGCCAAACCAACAATAATTTCATGTATTGTACAAAGATTCGGCATTGGAGTTGGATTTTCAATTATTTATAGTGCGCTTCTCACCAAAACCAATCGAATATCAAGGATATTTCATTCGGCATCTAAATCAGCGCAAAGGCTTAAATATATTAGCCCTCAATCTCAAGTGATTATTACTGGATCATTAATAGGTTAGAATTTTGAAATAATCACTTAATAATAATAATCACTTAATAATTATACTTACATATAATAATGATTTAAAAGGTTATTGATCAAGCTATATGGACGTAATTCTTAAAAATAAATTGTAAACCATTTAGTCCTTACTGCTAACAAAATACTTTCCTAAGCAGCATTACAATCTATGTATTTGCCAAAAAGACAAGCAAACATATGTATTACTTCTAGTATTATATTCATTGCCTTTATATCAAAATTTAATATAAAAAAAATTCTGAAAATCTGTCTCTATAAATTTAAATCCGAATTAAGTAATTAGTTTAACTGAAATGTAATTCACCTATTCAAAAACAAAATACCTGAAGAGAGTAACTTTAAGTTCACATAAACGTTGTTTCTTATTACCAGCGCAAAATTGTTATAATTTGTGATCAAAACTTGAAAAGTGCCAAAAATAAGTTTCTTTGTGACAAACGATTTTTAAAAGTTGAAAAAAAAGAAACAAAGTGAATATAATAGTTGTATGGTAAGTTACATTATACACAAAATTTTAAAACCAACTGTTCCCCTTGATAATTTATAAACTCACATTCAGCAAAGCGAAAAAAAAAGTTTCTCATGATATCTGCCAATAAATACTAATCCTACTTATGTAAACTTCTTTTAATCAAATTATTTATTACAGAAACTTTTTAAAGTTATTGTAAAGCTAATCAAACTCGAAGATAACTCACTATCATTTAAGATATTTTGTCGGGTTGCATAAAAACAGATAAGTATACCCATTCCTCGGTTAACGGTCTTAACTCTTCCCAAACAAGTTGGCCGTAAAACGAAATACAGTTAAACGAATCAAGTAACTCCATCCAAATGTATGGAAAATAATAAAACTGGTTCTAAAAAAAACCTATACATAACGACTTCAAAAAAAAAGAAAAATATTTAAAAAAAAAATTTTTTTTTTGCTCTTTTTGAACTTCTTCATATGGTTACATAGCTTCATTAACTTTTTTGGGAATGTCCGAGCTGTGCTGGAGAAGTGAATTTGCAATTTGAAAATCACTGAGTACTTCATCAATTTTATTAAAACACGTCTTCATAATATGAGATATTAGTTAAACATTAGTTAAATATTAGTATCTGATATAGTTGCCCTTTCCACATCCAAGTTCTCTAAATCATGTAGCAGCAGCAGTTTCTCATTCGTAAACTACTCTCTGTCATTTCTTAAAAGTTGGCTGACGTCTTCTAAAATGTAATCAGCAAAACCATCCTTTACCGCCGTTTTAACAACATCATCATTTTTGTTGTTATCAACTCCACGCACAAAATTTCGAACGACGCATTCTAACCATAAAGATTCACAAAATATGTTAAGGGATAAAATTTGTATTTCCTTCCACTATTGATTTATGTTTACTATGGTATCTTTAATGTTGTGGCTTTTCCACAAACCTTTTTCTTCAGTTATTTGTTACTTGTATAAGTATTCAAAAAATTTTTGTATATAATGCAGGGTTTAGAAAAACACTGTGCTGTGCACAAAAATGCAAAACACACAAATGTGCGATTCTAAATAAAATTTCACACCACAAATGTGGTGTGCGAAAATTTTTGCGCACATCTTGTGTGCACAAACAAAACGCACATTTTACACGAATGCAAACGATGTTTGTGCCGAAGTTATTTCACACAGCACATTGTGTGTGAGGCAGCCAGCTTACCCAGTAGAAAAAGTGGTCTTCGAAGACATTGTCTTCAAGACGGTCTTTGATACCACGTCCGCATTTTCAAGTAAATTTGCAAAACAATTGCTCAAAACATGAATGTAAATACTCTTTCTTTGCTTTCTCTCTCATTTTTAGTGTTCATAACAACGTATTTGAATTTTGCCTCAGATGACGCTATGTTTTATAAATGAAGTGACGCAATAATTTTGAAGTGTAGTGAAATAAATATTAAAAAAATCAAAATAAATAAAGAAACAAAATCATTAAACTATGAAATATTAAAAAAAAAGAAATTAAATCAAAACAAATTAAATAGTGACTTAGTTCCTGGAAAATATATTGATATTAATATTGAAGACAATAATTCCAGTGAAAGTTGTTTTAGAAACGAAACAAAGGATGTTGAAAATAAAAAAACTAAAAACACTTGTGAAAAATTAGCTGTTATTTTTAAAAAACACAGGATTAACAGGCGTTGTAGTAATGATATTTTAGAACTCTTAAGATCAGAAGGTTTAATTGTACCAAAATCCTCTTCAACGCTTTTGAAAACATATAAAACTTCAACATTTGATGATAGCGAAATGCTATAAATTATTTTATATTAGTTTTAGTTAATTTTAGATATGCTAAGTTATATTAAGTTAATTATTTAAATTAATTTTCATTATGTTTACTAGTTTTTACTAGTTTATTATTAATATCTTAATAAAATTTGTAATAATATATAATAAAATTTATAATTTATTTTTAAAACTTTTAATTTTGAATGTAATTTAAGAAATTATTATATATAATAAATAAAAGTACAAAATACAACAATTTCTTTCTACTTATTTAAAGAGGAAATTGAAATTCATTTAAAATTTAAAGAGCGCAATAAAAGAGTAGAAATAAAAAAAGGGTGAAAAAATTATATGAGCACTGCACTAAGAGCGCACAACTTTCTGTCGAATGCGTCCGTTATGCAAGACATGGTCTTCGAGACGGTCTTCGAGACATGTACGCAAAAATTCATTGAAGACATTTGGCTAATTTGTATGAAAGTGTCTTCAAAGACCGTCATACATTTGGATCGATCGGTCTTCATGTATGTATCCATGTCTTGAAGACGTCTTCGATGACGGATCGATCCGTTTTCTACTGGGTACCTTCGCACACAACGTATGCAGAAAAGAATACGAGGAGCACATTTTGTGTGCAGACTCGAAAATAAAAATGCACGCAAATGTGCGGAGACGAAATGTCTATTGCACATTTGTGTGAAATGATGATTTAAAAGCGTACAATATTATGACAAATATCGCAGCAAAATAGTACGGAAAACTGATTTGTAGTAATTTTGGTCTTAATGCGAAATATTTTATTGAAAAAATGATTTTGTATTTATATTTTAATTTTGAATTTACTATAAGATTTACATTTATTGCTCATATTACTTATTATATTAAGGTTTATTAATTTAAAACATGGGAATAAAGTTAATTTCACAATGTACTTGAAAACTTTGTTATATTAAATAGGTACATGAATTTAATAGAGAAAGAGTATTTGTTTCGAAATGTTATAAGTAAAGAGGATCGGTTCTACGGATCTTACTTTGAAAAAATTAAGTATATCAATTTTGGACTACTTTATAAAATTTTATTTAATAGTAAGTTATACACTAAGATTCGTTAGTAAGGTTATAAAAAGCATATTAAATATTTTTCACAACAACATAAGTTAATTTTGTTATTAGATTTCACTTAATTTTTTATCTTTAATTACAGCTTAAATTTAACGAAGATATTGAAATAATTTAATATCTTAATTTATTATTAAAAAAAATTTAATTTAAATTACATATTTTTTGAAATAAATTTTCATTTAATCTTATTAATGTTAACCTACATCAGAAACGCACAACTGGGCACCTTAAAATTTTAACAACATGTGGTCACCTAACATATGTGTGACAGCGAATGTCAAAAGCGAGTGAACGAGAGTAACGGAAGTTCGTTGAATAGCGTCGGTTGAATAGTGTCAGTTGGATAGCGTCGTGATTAAATATCTTGTTCAGTTAAATAAAGTATATTAAAGTTATGTTATTAAATATTTTGTTCAGTTAAATAAAGTAAAGTAAAGTTATTTAAATAAAGTCTATTAAAGTTATGTACTTAACTCAAAAACCAAATTTAAAGTTCAGAAGTGGGATTGAATCAATGCCAAAAGGGGAGTAATTAAAACGTAAGTTTGAATATTTGGCGCAAAAAAATAAAAAAAAAACGAACGCAGATATATACGTAATGATGGTGACCATCAAGTCACTGACGAAGGAGCAGTTGAAGGACTTCTTACAACAGCAAGAGTTATCAACTACAGGCAATAAGGTGGAATTAGTTGCACGATTAACTGAACACGTGAAGTCAAGCGGCGTAGTTTTGCAATTTACAAACGATAATGAGGAATTGCGGAGTGAAAACGAAGAATTGAGAATACAAATTAGCGAACTGCGGCAAATGGTTCAACAAGTAGCCTGTTACGTTCAACATCTTTTGATATTTTTGTGAGCAGAGTTAAAGTCTGGCACGGTGGCGAGGCCAGCTAGCTCGTCAGCAAAGGGGTGGATTCTTTACTCTGCTATAGCACATTCGAACCGTAACAAAAAAAATAAAAAAAATCGTGCCAGAGAGTTTGGTTCAAAAAAAAAATTGCAATCAATTTGATCAAAGTAGATCAAATAAACAAAAAAAAAAAAAATAAGGAACGTAGAAATAACAAAAAAAAATATGTAAAACCACTATTACTATTTCATTGTAATACTGTGTCTACCAGTGTTTTTCCGTATTGTCCCTGTCCTTGTCTGTCGGTTTGGACCTACCCACCCTCACTACACTACCGCAGTTACCGTTGAGCTTAAGTAACAGGCCCTGTTAAATTCTGCCCAGCTCCCTAATTTCATGATCGTCCCTGTCCTGTCTAGCTCATTTTAACCTTACCTAACATTGTCCCCTTTCTCACATCCACCTGTCATCTATATCTTCTCTTAAGCCCTCATGTTTTAGAATTTTTCTTTTCTATATAACATATCTAACTAACATTTCAACAAAACAAAAAAATTATTGGTTTTAATGACTTATATTTTTGGTTGAATCAAAACAAACAAAAATAAATGGTGAGTTACAAATATTTAATCTAAGCTTAAATAACTAACAAACTTCATTTTTGTTAAATATAATTATGCAAATGATATTATTGACATGATAAAAATAAAAGAAATATTAAATAATAAAAAAAACAT